GAGATAATTTTAATAGACCGTTGCTTTTGACGCCCCCCCCCCCTCTTCCCTCTTCTTTTGAATGAAACTTTAGTATTTTGAGGGAGCAATTTTTGTTGAGTGTTTGTCACACTAAGAACTAAGAGTCACAGGTTGTTTACACAGTGTGTTGATGTTGACCAGTTGTTGCTTGGACTAACACGCGTATTGTGAAACTGGGTTGCAGGTAACTGTATGCTTGAACTGGTCGTTGTTGTTGTTATAAGACCCAGGTCGAGGTTGAATGTTTGTACAAGAGGTGTTCACAGCACAAATGTTGACATTTTGTTGGGAGTAAACTGGGTCAATTGACAGCTGGGTGAAAACATGTCTCAGGGCTAGTTGAAGGTGGAAAATGGCCAATGAGACTAAGAATAAGGCAAACATGGCTCCAAAATGGTGGAATAACTTTCTTGATTCCTTACAAAATTTCATAATTTTAGCACCAAAATGTCCAGCACTGAAAGTTCATGATGTTAAAAATACATAAATCCTCTTGAAAACAGAGAAATTGGCACATTCATACAGAGCAAGTTGCACAGCTGCCTGCTAGGCGCTGATCACAACTCACATATAATATAATAGTGGCAGCAGTTGCAGCAGCAGGAGCAGTAGCAAAATATTACTAGTTAACAGATCTCCACATCTTTTTCGTTATCATCACCAATACCGGCATGGAGATTGGACAGTCAAACAAATGGGGATATTTATGAAAAGTGCCTTTCCCAGTCGGACCGAGATGAGCTTCGAAAACCCGAACCATCAATCTTATATCTTTGACTCTCGTAGCCTAACCACTAGCCTATCGACGACACGTAACTGCAGACAATGTACAAACAATTACAGTCAAACTTCGTTGTCCCAACTCCTGCCAGGTCTTGCCAATGTACGAAAAGAATCCCCTGTAAAAACATAGTATTTGTGATTTTACACCGCCATCCACACACACGTCTCTTCGAGGTAGGCCTAGGTCTAAATCAAACGCTTTTCACCGATTTGCTCCCTCCCTGTCCATCCTACCTCCCTACTCCCTACCCCTGTGGAGTACATTTCAGGCAATATAATGGATAAATTTACAACGATATAGTGTGTCGTAAGCTAACACAATACAATGTTCTTTAGGCCTTGGTAAATATCTTAAAAAAAAAAATTGTAATTAAATTATTTTAAAGTCGCATGAAGAAGCTTTAAAGGAACCTCGCTTCACCGCCCCCCCCCCCCTCCCGCTCCCAACCCGCAAATTATCTGTCGTCGCCAGACATCAGCCCAAAATGATTTACAGACTTACGAATGCCCGTGGGGCTTTTATTTAGTGAGGACTCACGCTCACGTCTAAGTGACAGATCGAAGGGAGATGACTCATTACTTCATCTGGTGATTGGTAAACAACGACGCTACATGTATTTAACAGAGGACATGAAAACTTCCTTGTACTGCCAGTCCCGCTGTACCGCCAATTTCATTCTCGTCATAAGGTAGGCGGTATAACAAGGCTTGACTGCACTTTGCTTTTTCTGTCCCACAGACCTACTGAGGAAAATCCCAGACAGCGTGGACGTCAAAATATAGTTGTGCATAGTTTAAAAAATTTAATATAAAAAACCCCCTACTTGCTGACAGCGTTTGGTGGTTTAAGAAAATAGGACACCTCCCCCCTCCCCCCAACCACTAAAAACAACAACAAAACAAACAAAATAAACCCCCCCAAAAGCAACATCAACAAATATACAGTATACAAACAACAAACCAATAACAAAACAAAACAAAGGCAAAACCAATACCCTCCCAAAAAAAACAACAACAATAACAACAAACAAACGAACAAAATGACTTCCATCCAGGATACAACCACGTCAAATGGGCAGAGACCCATGAAATAACCCATTGAATAACCCAAATTCCAGGGTGTCCAGGGTGTCCAGGATTTGAACCAGGATCGTCCACACTGCTATGCAAACTGATACAAGCTGAGCCACTGGGGACACCCTGCCAAGTAGGAATGTAAACTTCTGAGTCTTGGCATTATGTAAAAATGCTAGAAACATTTTAAAGATTTGGACGTTTTATAAAGTAGCAAACGCTTTCTCCCCCTTGGTATTTATATATATTTAATAGATTTATTGTTTTATCCTCTTCCTCCTCCTATCTACCCCTTTTTCTGTCTTTGGTTCCTCTACTCCATCCCACCTACCCTCCTCCTTCTCTTAGTTAGTCGTCTGGGCAGCGGAAAATTGCGCAGGTTTAAAATCCCACTGTCAAAACATCATGGCGTTCTCTACTAGAGGCCTGCTCAGGGTGTGGCTGGGGTCTCATACTGGTGACCTACGGTGTTTTCTGTCTGGCTTCTGTCTAACTGTCTAGCGAGTCTCTCGCAAGCCTGGCAAAATCAATATGCTGTGTTGATTCAAAGCGTCGTGTTGTGTATTAAATGGTATATTTATTCATCAATATTTTCATCGTGTTGAAAATATATAATAGCTCTACCTGGTGTTCTTTGTACGAGATAGAACTGAGAATTCTTGAATCAACAGGTGTTATCGTTCCAGTACGGCAAAGAAGTGTCTCTCTCGTACCAGACTCTTCATTCTGCCTTTCTTGTTGAATCCAACCTTTCACTTGCATTTCATGATCACGAACAACAGTGTGTAAACTCATTTAAAATATTCTTAGATTCACTGCCACACATTTGGATTTCGAAGCATGTGTGATTGATGTCTTTTGGGTTTCATTATGGGCAAGAAATGTTGTGTTTTTTTAAATTGCAAAACAAATAATGTTTTGGGAATAATGGTGAACTGCATGTTTGGAGGGCCAGCATTTTTTGCAAAGATGTTACCGATTTCAAAGTTAAATTCTAACTTTTTGCATGATCAAATGACGACTTCTGCTGAGTGAATTGAAGAAGCAGGGGGGGGGGGGGGGGGGGCAAGTTAAAGCGATTATTTGTGATGGAAACCGCAACAACCAAGCCTTTAACAAATTGTTTGACTCTGAGCCTGAGAAACCATGGGTCACACAATCAGGTATGTTCATTCTCTACGACTATGTACACTTCTTAAAGAACATCCGGAATAATTGGCGGACTGAAGTTATTGGCGAATTAACTTTCAACGATGACGGTATCCAAAGAACAGCAAAGTGGAAACACTTCCAAGAACTTCAAAAAATTCGAAGCCGGTTGTCTTGTGAAAATGTCCGATTGAAGTGAAAGTGTCTGTTTCCCCGAAACCCGTTGAACGTCAATAGGCGAGGGTTTTCAGCGAACGGACTCGTGACGATTTGCTCTTTTAAATATTCAGGCATGCAACAGTTTGACGGTTTTGAGGACACTGCTATCTTCCTCAAAAAGGTGATGACGTGGTGGAAAATTCTAAATGTTAAGTCAAAGGATATCGACATCCGTCTCAGAGATGATCTTCAAGCTGTGATGTGTGAGGCTGCTGGCGAGAGACTTGATACAATTTTGAAATTTGGAGACATGGCTCAGAATATGGCAGGAACAAGGCAAGAGACAAAAGCAACTAACTCTTGACACCTTTAAAGCTATCCACCACACATGCAATGGCCTTGTTGAGCTTTGTAGATGGTCACTTCAGTCCTCCCATCAATATGTCATGTTTGGTCAATTTTCGACTGATCCATTGGAGAAAGAATTCAGCAAATTGCGACAGGGCTCAGGAGGGACCTACTTTATTAACATTCAGCATATTGTGGAAATAATCAAACTTTCACAGATCAAGACTACTTTTAACTCTTAATGCAGAACTTTCAAACCTTTCAAACCTGGTAATTCCTGCCCCGATTGCAATTTTAACATTGAAACAGACTAGAGGGCTCCCGAAACTTAGGACAATCTAATTGAGTTGGAGGAGTCACTTCTGTAGAGACAAAATCTGTGTTGGTTTATATTGCTGGCTAAGCTACTCGCATAAAGACGAAGAGCTGGATGAAATTTCTCAACTCGGACAGACAACCATTTGCTACCAAAAGTACGGCCACTACACAAGCTCTTTGGATAGAGGCGGCTTGAACATCCCTTTTGACAGAACATGTCAATGGACCTTCTTTTCTTTTGTTCAATATTTTTAAAAGCCCTGTTTGCAGAACATCTTTCTGCAAGTTAACCACGGCGATGTCTGACAGTTTTGAGTTCGAAATGAAAGAGAAACACTGGCGGATTCTGGCGAACATCTTTAAAAAAACAACTATTGTTACGCTTCCACTCCTCGCTCTTCAAAAGAACCTGCATGGACAATTTTGAAATTATCATAACTGAACAGACATACACTGCAGTCCATTCAAGAAGGAAACTGATACTAGAAGACATTTTTGTGCAACATTTTTAGTTTAATAATTAATGTGATCAACAGAAAGCAACGCATCAGTCTGATTTGGAACATTTAATCATACATTATTCAATATTTCCTACCCCTATTTCACCTGGACACATGCATTAAACTACAGAAAAACACAAAACAGGCTTGGTAAGTAGGCCCCTACTCATTTATAAGGCATGTGGAGTAAATGGATCTAGTCACGTCTTGTTTAGATTGTTTTGAGGACGTTGATTTTTTGTGTTTATACAAATGATTTTTGTTCCAAAATTGCAAAACAGATCTAATAATGTAATAATAAGGCTAATAGTAAGTAAAAAATAAATAACTATTAGTAGCTCTTTATTTTCATGTCACTTCGGACTAAATGTTGTAATTACCTTTGGAAATAAGGCTCAGAGACTGAATATGGGGTCAACTGGATAAATAGATTTTTAATACTTAGACCTAGATGATATAGTAGGCCTCAGTTCGAGACCCCTGCCGCACGTTGAGAAGGCTCGTAGTAAAGTACGCTATGAAAACAGTTCAAAGGGATTTTTCCAAAACCTGTAGGAAAATAGCCGAGGGACAGGTACCTACGACAGTTTTGCTCAGAAACATTACATGTCCCTACGGAACTCTTGCCAAAACATTATATGTACTCACGACAGTCTTGCTCATTACAGGCGGCCTCCTGTGACGTCGGCTCATCACACGGCTGTTTCGTGCACTCTCGGGTCCTTGTCTTCACGCCACCTGTGGCCAGATGGGAAGGGTGGACATTGTCGTGGACAATCGGATTTTTTGTTACGGTGTGTGCGTGTGTATGTGTGTGTGTGTGTGTGTGTGTGTGTGTGTGTGTGTGTGTGTGTGTGTGTGTGTGTGTG